ATATCAATATTTCAATTAAAAAATTAAATACACTGTATGTCTTGAATTCTTAAATGAAGGCTACAGGTTATCAATAAAACAGGTATTTTCCAAGGGGTGGTTCTGAGGCATCCTCCCTCATAGCTTTGTGTCTTCGTGTCTCAACTACACCCAGACCATCAACTATTATCTTTCACCCAATAACTGAAAATCAACATCACCAGACAGTACTAACAGTTGGGAAAGAAAAAAAAAACTGATCACTTAGGGATCAGAAGCACAGTAAACCTCTCAAGATCAATAGGGAAAACTAAATGATATTGGAGTCATGATGTTAATATTTGGAAGGAAAAAAAGAATGTATATATAGTAAAATCCTATAAGCAAACTATCAATTAGGCTTTGGATACAATAAAGACATTTTCGTCTGGAATATGCTCTCGGCTCCTAACAAGCCAGAAAACAGGAGAGAAACATTGTTCTGAATATAGGAGTTAACCAAGAAATAAACAAATACAGGATGCCAGAAACAGGGAATCCAGCATCGGAGGAAAGGGAAGGCAACTGTCAGGATGAAGTTTCTGGAGGTCTAAACAGCATCCAGTCTTGTCAGATTGGGCAGGAGGTCTGAGACCTCTGGAAAGGCTATTGCGAGGCTGGACTCAAAAGCTAAATAGAATTAGAGGATTTAAAACCTTTTATTAGAGATTTCAAGAAGACTTGATGACAAGTATAGAAAACCATAACTAAGTGGAACAAAAAATTGCATTATTATTAATCCAAAGAAGAACAAATGTGCCTGAAAAGAAATGCAATCATAATAGTGTAATACTTTACTTCCAGTCAACATTTACATGGTAATAATTACTCAAATTCTGAATATTAATATGACCAAAGTTTCTAATGTCTATATTGGAAGGGCAAAAAGAAAGGGGTGTGGAGGTGAGAAGGTGGAGGAGGGGATATAAATGGGTTAAATCATCTTCTAAAACAGGAACTCAAAATCATGAATAAAATTGCAGAATAAGCACATATTTAGGTATATGGAAATATATTCCAGAATAAAAGAAAGAAAAAGACAAAACAGGGTGTCAGGAATGTTCAATATGAGAGAGAGAGAGAGAGACAGACAGAAAGTGTGTGTGTGTGTGTGTGTGTATTTATGTGTGTGTGTTGGCAGTAGAGGTGAGGCAAGATACTTCTGTACTTTATTATGTTTTGTAATACTTATAATTTTATAATGTCCATTAGAAATGTAACATATAATATATTTTTCATGTACCACTTTAATAAGCATTTAAAAATCACTTGAAAAAAGTCATGTTATTTTTTTGTTTACAATGAAAGTTAAATTTTGGACAACAGTTATCTCCTACCCAGAATTAACAATTCACTTATGTAATTCAACTCATTTCTCTGTCTTCAGGATTTTTGGAACTTAATTAACATACATAAAGAGCTAGAGAATATTCTTTATGAAGGCATCTAGAGTAAGTCATAGATTTTACTGTTCATTTACACTATGATGCCTACTTCTAAATTTTAGAGTTGATTTTGCCTATTTAACTAGGGTGTAATAACCAATGACTAGAAAAGAAGAACAAACAATAAATTATTCATTGAGTATGTCACAGTAACACTGAAAATTAAATTACACTGACCATGTTTAAAGGGCCTATTTTGTTCAATATTAAGTTGCAGTTTTCAAATAAACAAAAATTCTAAGTCCTATACCACTCACTAAAGAATCAAAATACCTGCATATGACTATTGTATTGTCAAAGACCCTTTATTCCTTTCATTGTTTTTCTTCTCATTTATAACTACTATATTTTTTGAACAATTAAATATCATCAGTTGCTTTTTCTGTATCACACATGCTAAAGATTGAGTTGCAAAGGACATTTAAAAACCTCCTGTAGTTATAGAGTAATTAGCCAGATTTTTAAAGAATGTTTGCTATATGAAATTGAAATTGAGAAAAAGATGCGTAAAATGTGACCAGCTTTACTTTTATAAGTCTTAGATCAGAAATGATAATATATTTATGCACCCTTATGTTTATTGTGGTATTACAACAGCTAAGATATGAAAGTAGCCTAAGTGACTGTCAACAGATGAATGGATAAAGAAGAGGTGGTATATATATATATAATGGAATATTATTCATCCATGAAAAAGAAATAAATCTTGCCATTTGCCACAACGTAGATGGATTTAGAGGGTATTATGCTAAATGAAATAAGCCAGATGGAGAAAGTCAAATACCATACAATTTCACTTATTTGTGGAATCTAAAATCAAAATGAACAAAACAGCAATAGACTCACAGACACTAAAAAGTGGTTATGATGGGGGAGGGGTTGGGATGGTGAAGAGGATAAAGAGGCACAAAATCTCAATCATAATATAAATTAGTCATGGCAATGATAGCACAGCACAGAGAATATAGTCAATAGTTCTGTAACATCTTTCCATGTTGATAGATAACAACTACATTAGGTGGGGTGAGCATTTAATAATGTCTATAACTGTCAAATCATTATGTTGCATACTTGAAACCAATATAATATTGTATATCAACTATACTTGAATAAAAACATTAATATGGGATCCTTACTTATCAGTAAGAAGCCACTGATTAACAGACAAGGAAAACTGTCCTTATTTCAAATGTGTGCTGAGCTATTAATTAAAAACTATGATACTGAGGCATAGGACAAAGTTCTTAAGTCTTTAAAGTAGGAATTGGACAACTGCCCAAAAATACAGTAAATTAAAAATTCTGATGCAAAAGAAAAAGAAAAGAAGTTATACATCTAACAATGCTGAAATATAAAGAGGTTTATTAAAAAATCATGTATTGGATACAAGAGCACCAAAGTAAAATGAAGGCCTTCTTGTACATAGTATACTTTTTATTTTATTTTCTCTAAGAATTGTGGAATCAAACTACAAAAGGGGTCTTTTTCATGCAATACTTGTCATACCCTTAATTTGGACCATCACTACTGTTTTATGTTTTATTTCTGGGTTTGGATATTGTTTCTTATCAATAACGAATTTTAATTTCTCTACTTAATATTGTATTATAATCCCTTAAATCAGTTCTGAACCAGTTTACACCATCAGATAAATGTTTCTCAGTTTTCTAAATAAATTCTTCCAGAGGAACTGCTTCTAGACAAATCCAATCTCTCTGGTTTATAGCTATTTTCCAAATAATTCAGAAATTCCCTGTAACTCCTGACATCTTTAAGGATCGCCTATAGTTATCCTCATGTCTTTGGGGAAAGTCAGGTAAATAGTTCATATCATCATAGTCACATTTTAGTAAGTCTAATTGCTGCATAATGGCATTAAACCCTCTCAGTTTCCTTCTGAAGGCAGTATATACTGCTATAATGAAAGATTTTTCTGTTCCAAAGTTTGTGATAGTTATAGAAAAATAACTATGAGTGTTTCTTTAAATAGAATAACTATACTTGTAGGTTTTCAGTGCTAATGTTTAGTGACCACTAATTTCATATCTTACGAGGCAAACTGTATTTTATTCATTACAGAGCGAAGATCATTCTGAGCCTCTTAAAGACAACTACATGAAATTTAAGGGCAAACTGATACTTGTCTGAGCGCTACATAAATTTATATGCATACTTGGAACAATTTTATTTTCACTATTCAATTCTTTAATGAATTATGGGATTTTTCCCTGGTTTTGTCATTTGGGACTTCAAGCTGCTTAGCATCCACAAGAGTATCACCAGAGATTACTCAGTACTCAGGAGTGATACAGGAGGGAGGACTGCACTCTGGTATGTGTTCAGAAAATACACCTTAACATTTTAAATGAAGTGGAAATCAGAATTCTTATGGCTGTTTATGCACCGTGATGTCCCACTGCACCATGGGATAGCACATCCTAAACTGTAAAAGAAGTTTCTTTAAGGGATGTATTCAGGATTCCGATGCTACCCTTAGGTGTGTTCTAGAGAAATGAATGACCAGAAATGGGATCTTATCATTTCATGCATGGAACCAGCAATTTATTTTAGTGGCACAAAAGAAGTAATTTAAAAATTACAATTGTATTTTATATTTAAAAAATCACATAGTATCTGTAATAGTTAAATATTTTACTAAAATATCAATAACTACATAATCATGTGTATATATATATACCTGTGTGTACATGGATATGTGTATGTATATATACATAATATGTAACTCCATACAGAGATTTGATGGAACTTCAATGTCTCCTAAAAGATTGCTACAGTATCTTTAGGATCCCTGTTTCCCCAATTCTTTGTCATTTTACTTCTCTTTCAATTTTCCAGAGCTTCCCTGTAGTATTTTCCTTAATTTTATTTACTGAACCAACTTTATTATCTACAATTGCCTTCTGACTACTGCTTTCTCTACTATTTCTATGAAACAGATCTAATCAAGTTTTAGCCTGTAACTGAATTACTTGAGCTGAAGAGTCACTTGATTCTTAAAGTTTAAGGAACATGAATATCATAATAAAATAGTTTACTTTTTTCTAATTTTGAGTGTGCATAGGTATATAGTTAGCTAGCTGGTATTTTTATAATGAGCTAAAACTGTAAGTACCTCAATTTGAAATTTTCTACAGTAGATAATAAGTGAAATGTCTTTGCACTGTACTCTAAAAAAATAGATACTTGATAAAAGCATCACAGTGGAATGAGTGATAAACTTTAAATGGATATATCTTAAATAGATCACGAGGAAGATCCTTTTTTTATGTTCTGATGACAGGCAAAGTCCTATAAATCTATTAATAAAGTAGATGAATTAATGTTTCGTAGGTTTTATTTTTCTTCATAATACAAGTTTCATCTGAAAGACAACTAGAAAACAAGACAATTGCAGGCTGTAACTGCTCACAAGTCATAAGTAACTGTCCCTAAATGGCCTGATATTTAAAAAAAACATTTAAAAGCAAAGGAGAAGTAAGCATAAACAGCAACTTATAATTTAAAAGAGAGTTTTACCAAAGACTGTCAGCTCTGCCGGGTCACTGTCTCTTTCTCCCACCATATTGGTGCCAACACAGGTGTACATCCCTGCGTCACTTTTCCTGGTATTGGAGATCATCAGTTTTCCACCACGGATCTGTTAAAAGAAAAAAAGAAAAGAAAAGAAAAGGGGAAGGAAAATAAACAGGAAAGGAAAGGTCACTGATACATAATTTTGAATAAGCACATTTTTTTTCCTAAAATAAATGGCTGAGTGTCTAAGACAGAAAACTCTCCTACTATTTTGGCCTCTGCGTGGCCACTTCTCTTAAATTCTCTCTCAATGTAAGTCTCTAAGTTCCCTTTCTAGAGAATGCTTCTGTAAGACAGTCATCTTCTCTCTTGCCTGGTCCTACTTTGCGTCTTGTGATTGGCCCTCATTAAATCCCAGTGGATGGTTTTCTCTCTGAGATTTTGTTGAATGAATTGCTATTGACGTTTGTCATCAGAAAGGGGCACTAGAATACAATGAAACCCCACTGACTCAGACAGATTCAACAAGTATTTACTAAGTACATCTATGGGCTAGGCAGTGTCCTTGGCTCTTGGGATTTAGTACTAAGCCAAATAACATAAAACTATGCCTTCATGGAGCTTACATTTCAATTATTAGTATTAATTATCTTTGTCTCATCTTAGCTGTATTTATGAGATAATTTCTGAAGAGGAGGGAGGTTAGATGAAAAAAATTATTAAGTGATGAACATGAGTTGGTACAAATTATTGGCTTCTATTAGATGTTCCCTACATGTTTCTTAAATGAGAAGTATTTATTGACTGAGTAAACAAATAGAATAATGTTAAAATGTCTGTTTGTTAAAGAGGACATTAAAACAGAATTAGGCCTTCAGTAGGCATATCATCAACTTATAGCTTCTTTCCCAATTCCAGGTTTTTTTGTGGTTCTGTTTGGTATTTATCCAATTCAACAATCTTAACTTTTCAAAGATTGAGTGGTCTTAAAGCGATATGAGATAAGAATATGCTGGTTTTCCCTGTTAATATTTATTTCATAGACAAAACTCATCCACTGAAAGGGATTTCCAACTTTTTTTTTTTTTACGGGAAGAAAAGACTGTCAACCTATGGCAACCTATTGTCAGTTATATGCCATAAGGCATAATGAATGGTATGTTATAAAAATGACCATGAAGGCCATTTCTCCTCCCCTTGACACTAAATTTGTCAACATGATTTGACCAAGGGAATTAAATCAGTGTTTCACTAGAAGAAAGGTGCTCACACACTGGGACTTCTATTGGTGCCTTTGGAACCCTGAGAGCGCACAGGAGCCAGCCTAAGACAGCCTGCTAGAAAGTCAGAGGCCGTGAGAAAGGCCGTGGTGCCCAGCTGACAGTCAGTCAGTTGCCAGACATGTGAGTGAAGTTATCCTAGTTCATCCAGCTGCCAGTCACCTTTAAACAAGCCACCAAAATGTAAGAAGGCCCAGCAAAGATTAGCCAATCTGGTGCAGAGCAAAGAACTGCCAGTTGACTGCTAGAACAAAAGTTAAATAAAATAGTTATTATAAACCACTATATTTTGAGGGTAATTGGTTAAAAGAAAAAGCTTAATTATACAAACCTGAACTGAAAAGCCTTAAACATTGATTTTATTCCATCACCATGAGCACATGTCCGTAAGTTTGGTACCCAAGCACAGATCACTGGGAACCAAATTCTTCTTGGCAATGGTGAACCTCATAGTGTCAACAGTTCTAGCCAGAATCATATGAATATAGGTTGTGATCACTTATATGGCCTATCTGGTTCTCTGTTATCATGTAATCATAATGTGCACATACGAAAAAAAATCCTCATTTATGATATTTTTAAATATAGTAGATACCCAGATCATATGGACTTTTGATAGACATTGAAACAGTTGTTCAGTTAAATGAGACATTATTTTAAATAAAATATATTTGTTCTCATTTACTGTACTGAACATAAAAATTATATTAAAAATAATGTCAGAAAGTTGGGGCATCACCTATTATTTCAGTGGACTGGTTCTCACTCACAAACTTCACACACAAATGTTGAGTGAATCAGCTGAAAAAAACAGAATAATTGTATCCCATTCCCTCTCTACCTCCCTACCATTTTCTGTTTCATTTTGAATATTAATCAACTGAAGAACGTGATCATCAATCTTCCTTGAAAACAGACTCTTTTTCTACAAAACCTAAATTGCAAAACCAGCCAGTCATTTTCACATTGATTTTACTTTATATCTTTTAAACTTTTAAATCAATTCATGTACAAAATTTTAGTTTTAAATATTATTAAATTGGAGAAACTGGAAAAAGTGCTTGAAATATTCATCACCTCAAATTATTTCCTCTTATAATTTTGAAAATAGCACAAAAAGAAATGTTCTACTTAATATAGTTTATGGCCATTATTTACAGTAACACTCATGTACTACTACTTTATCAATTGATGCATTTGGAAATCTTCAAAAGAGCTAAAGACATTGGTATAGCACTGCAAATATATATTTACATATTTAGATTGATGTGATTATTAATATATCATGTACACTCAATCTATATCATTTTTGTCTCGTTAAAGTTTCATTCCAAAGTTTGTTTTCAGTTACCCTTTTCCAGTCCTTTCAATACAGTGCAGATGGTAGTTAGCATTCGAATGCAGTACTACAATTTTAATACCAATAAAGAAAAATAAAATGCATCCTTTTTAAGCCTTGATTGTCTTCCTAGTCATAATTTCAATTTAACTCACACTTATTCTTTCTTCTTTGTCATCAATTCGAACTTTGTCTTTTTTCCAGTAGATAGTGGGTTCTGGGTGTCCCCGGGGAGGTTGGCACTCCAGGATTGCAGGTTCTCCAGCTGCCACTACAACATCAGTGGGATTTTGCCGGAAGTCATCGCGTAACACTGAGGAAAAACAATTGTAGGAAAGAGAACTCAATGACAGTAGCTTGAGTAACTTGAAGTCTTACTTACTTTGTTCTAATGACAACTGGCCAGAATATTTACTGAGAACACAGCCATGCCCATCTTAAAATAGTTCAGAGCCAACTTAAACATTCATGGCTGACTATATGATCATGCCCTTTGCTATAAAATCTGATTTTAAAAATGAGAAAAATCTAAGAAAAATAAGATGTGAAATATTAATGATAGTTTTGTGATTTAATAAAAACTTAAGGTGCAAAACTGTTTATGCTGTATGATCCTATTTTCTACAAAAAAAATGCTTATATATACACATATGTATATAAATATACTAAAATAAATTATCAAGTTATACTTAGATTCCTAAAACAAGTCATGTGCATGTGGTCTGTGAGCCTGTATGTGTGTCAGTCTGGGAGGGAAAGCAGGGTGGGAACTCTCTGAGGAAGCCCTTTCTCATGACATGACAAGATCCACACTGTTTTCATTACACTTCAGAAGATAGACTCATTGTTCACCCTTGCAATGCACTGGCACACACATACACAGGGCTACATTCTCATTCTCTCTGCATCTCCACTTGCCAGGCGACATCTGGGCAGCATGGCATTCAAAGCAGAAATATCCCTTACAGCAGTTTTGCCAGTCTGAATTTCCCCTCCTTTCATTAGGAGAACAGCAGGTTGGACCTCCACTGTAACCTCCAAGAACCTGGCATGCCTGGCTCTCCAAATGTCACACAGCATGGCATTCAAAGCAGAAATATCCCTTACAGCAGTTTTGCCAGTCTGAATTTCCCCTCCTTTCATTAGGAGAACAGCAGGTTGGACCTCCACTGTAACCTCCAAGAACCTGGCATGCCTGGCTCTCCAAATGTCACCTGTTTCTCTGTGTGTGCTTTTCTTCCACGAGCAAGCTGAAAAGCCTGGAGAAATGACTTGGCCCTATCAGACTGCAGAACACTGGGTTTACTTAGCACATAAGGGCTATGTCTTTTTTAGGGTAAACATTCAAGGAAGTAGAGACCAGCTAACACACCATGTACCCCAACTGCCTTTGCTTTTCCTTACTGACTTAGCTTTTCCTATCCTTTGATATTGGAATACTGAAAGTTTGTTTCCTAAGTGTACATAGGGGTAAAACAAACAAACAGGCACACACACACATATGTGTGTATATGTATATAGGTATATGTGTGTGTGTATATGTGTATATATATATATATATAAAAGTTGATCAATCTATTTGAAATCAAAATTAGGGAGCTTGTGTTAGCCTGTTATGTGAATCATCTAGTGCAGACATGGATTAGGTTAAACCAACTGCCTTTCTAATGAGATGCAGTTCAGCACTCTGTGTCTTTGTTGGGCGAAGTTTCTGGGTTAATTGTCATTCTCCAAATAAAAAACAAAAAATTTCCCCTGTCCTGAAAATAGCTCCAGGGAGACAACAGTCACTTCCAGGGCTTTTCTCTTCTTGTCTCTTGCAACACAGCCTTTAACACAGTTTCCATCTTAATGAAGTCACAGTCCTTTACAAGATTAGAGAACCTTGTCTCCTATTGAGGGAGCAGTAAGAAAGAATTCAGCTCAAATTGCTCACTCTCAGTTTATAAACTGATCAATTTACTGCTTTTGCTGCTAAGGAAATGTGTTCCATTTTAGCAGGGTGAACTGCACAATTTTTGGTTCTCTTGACTAACTGGCAGGAAAAGTGTGATATATACATGTAAGGACTTGCTTCTGAATGGGCTAAGGGAAGTGTGCATTTAAATGTGACATTAGGCAGGGGGATAAGAAGGGTTAACACTATGTTTCTCTCTCTTGCAGGTAAATCCTCCTGGGAGAGCAAGCTGGTGACTCATTTATATTCTAAATACGGAACAGCTGCCTATTTATGCAACGTTAAGACATGCAAAAATATGGTAACAGAGTGGTGAGCACCCTCACAATATCCGGTACTGGCAACAAATGGTGTTTTGGCAGGCCTTCAATCTGTTCCAAAATGACACATCTGGCCAGTTGAAGGACCTTCTCCAAAACTGGTCTCCTAACAACTGACATGCCAAAAAGCCTCTGCTCAAATAGTACTTAAGACCATTGCAAATCATTCAGAAACACAGTGTTACATCAATTTGCAACAAGCCGAATTAAGAAAAAAAAAAGTGTCCTTTGACATGGGGGACAAAAAGGAGAAAAATATCATAACAAACTAAGGACTGCTACTCTTAAACAATATAACATGTGTTTATGGCATTCACAAAAAGAAAGAAAAAGACTCCAATTTGCAAATGAAGCCAAGAAATCTAACATCAACTGTAATTTTAGGCTTTCAGACTATTCACCCAGAGAGTAGGGTGAGATAATAGTATAATTGGTACCGTATCTTCTTCAACTTGTATAATGCTCTTTGGGGTTTGTATAGTATTCAGTTAATTCATTTTTTTACCTAGTGATACCATTTCTTTGACCCAAAGGCATTGGGGTGATAAAATGTGTTTCTTCTCTCTCTCTTTCAAAATAATGAAGACAAATACATCCCTTTTAGAAGATTCTAGCACAGCAAACAGCTTATTTTTAGCAAAAAGTAAAGTCATTTAGACTCTTCTCGAATTTTAAAGGAGGACATATATATCTGGCATTTGCTCATATGTTTCTGAGATGTGTATATTCATGCATAAACATAAGAAAAATCAAATGAAATAATATTTATTGTTTCCAATTTTTGTGCTAATTATTCATTTCTGTTCTTGATTTTGCCCTGTGCTTTATCACAGATGGTAACAGATAGAATGTGTTCACTATAGCAAAGGATTCATGTATATTGGATAAAGGGAATTAAAATAGTCTTGTAAATTTAAAAAAGTAAAGCAAGTCCAAATTGAGTGTATATATATATATATATATATTTGTTGTTGTTGCTTAAGCTGCCATTCTGGAAGGAACTGCAAGCTACATTTTCCATGTGGCTTGACAAATAAGGCAAACGGGGCATACAGCACTCCAGCAGGCTTTTAAATAGAGTGAAGAGAAATAATCCTGATTAACTGAAAGAATCTGATTAAAATGACAAAAGCAGGGAGAACCGCATTAAGTTATACTTTAAAGAAGAAAGATATAATAGGTACATTCCTGATCCAGTGCTTATTTGCAGATCTAAGTTTAGAATACAAGGGTTAAAATCCCATGGGGGGAAAATATCTAGCTGGCTAGAACTCAAGTAGTTATTTCTGTATATGAGGTGGAAAGCACAAATGGGAGGTCACCCAGCTAGTCATAACCTGGATTAGATTTGCATTCTTTTTATATTAACATGCACTGATTTAGGAAGTTTTTCTGGAAGATCAGAAAATTCTGAATTACTAGTGTGTCCAATAAAATACAGTACATGCTTATAATATAAAGTTGTAACAAATTAATTCAATTCTGTAGTAATATATTGAACACTACAATGGGCTTGCCACTGTCCTATGAAACAGTTAAAAAATATAAAACAAGAATGACATGACAGTGCCTGTGGGAGGTTTTTTTCTAATGTTCCTCAATGATCACTCCCTCATGGTATTTATTCCCTATGTAGTCCCATCCCCTGGACTTGTGAGTTGGACCTAGTAACTTGCCTTTAATGAATAAAATATTGCATAATGATGAAATGTCACTTCCAAGATTAGATCATAAATGATTGTGACTTTCATCTTTTTGGCTCTCTGCCTTTCTGTCTCTGTCTCTCTGTTTCTCTCCTCATGTGCTTTCTCTGATCGTGGAAGATGCCATGTTCCTCAATAGGTCCATTTGGCAACAATTTGACGGCAGATTTCAGTGAATAGCAAGCAAGGAACTGATGTCCTCAGCCTAACAATCCTTGAGAACACAAGTTCTTCCAACAACCATGTAAGCTTTGGAGAAAAAACTTCCCCAGGTGAACTTTCATGAGACCACAGCCCTGACCAACATCTACATTGCAGCTCTGTGAGAGATCTTACAGCAGAGGACTAACCTAACTCATATTGGGGTTTCTAACTTGCAGACAGTGAAAATACAAATGCATGTTGTTTTAAGGTTTGTGGTAATTTGGTACCAGCAATAGGTAATTGATAGAGTGCCCTAAAAGAGCTTTACACCTAGTTTTGCCTTTAGAGCTCACATCTTTGACTCCTGCTTCTTCACAATCCCACTTTCACACACCAAGTCTTTTCCTTTTTGCTTTAAATCTATAGTTCTCAAGAATTTTTTTTTTATCTAGGCCAATAAAGGCAAGGCAAATAATTCCTCAGACATTTCCATTTTAGTTTATTAAAAGTAATTAGCAATAACAATGTGATGAGAATGCATAATTTAATAGAGTTCTGAAAAGTACATTTCTGAATTACAATGTACACATGCTTCCCTGTAGTTATTAGAAATGTAGAGTCAAAAAATTTTACTGATGAAAGTATTCATACACACCAGTGGATAAAGAAAACCATAGATAGCAAACTAAACTCATTATGAGAAAGATAATCTGAAAAGATACTGTAATTAAAAGCATTGTTAGTGGCAATTGAAACCTATAGCAAGTCAAAGAAACCTGAACACTGGCTTCCCTGCCAGCAGCATTTCTCTTTGTATATATACATGAGCTGCCAGAGCTGTGTGGCCTGAGACTTGTCTGTAGAAAACTGACCACTACTCAAAGTGATGCTTATCTGGTGTACATTTTAGTTTACAAATACAAAATTTGAGTTAATCTTGATACTTTGAAGGATACTCAGAAGCCTTTACTCTTGTAGATAGATAATGCATCAAATTACATGCTAGTTTTCAATAACTTATTTTTTAGATCAGTTAGCAGGCACACACAATGACACTTTTGATATTACTATTTTAAAAATAACTGCCCTACAAAAATAGCTAATGTTTAATGAATACACACGGGGTGCAAAACCTGGCGTCATGGGTATGTAATAGGTTATCTCAAATGACCTATTGTGGTAGGTAAAC